TGTAGTTCCAGTTACTTGGAAGGTTGAGGCGGAAAGATCGCCGGAGCCCAGCAGGTCCAGGGTGCGGTGGCCGGGAGCGGCCACTGCACTCCAGTTTGGGCAACAGAGTGAGACTCCAACTCAAAAAAAAAAAAAAAGAAAGTGATTGCCAAGGGCTGGCGTGGCATATGTGAACAGGAGGCTACAGAGAAACTCTGGAGAAAAGTGGACTGAGCCAGGAGAAAGCAACAGTCCAGCCCACACCCGCCTTTGTCTTTCCAGAGTCAGCTGTGCCCTTTGGCATCTTTTTCGTCTCCCCTGGGCTGCAGACTTTTGTCCCCGTTGCCGAAGGAAGCGCCAGGCTCAAAGTGACCCCGATGAGCCCCGCCCCCTGCTGCCCTGTGCCACCTCGTGCTCTTAATAAAAGCGGATCAGAGACGGCACCTTCCCTTCCCTGCCTGCTCCTAACTGCTTCTCCAGTTAGAGTACAGATACCGCCTGCTCGCAGTTTTTTTCCAAATAAGTGCTTGAGCAACTATAGAAGCAAGAGGTTTAGTCACCCGGAGGCCACTCCTCGCCCCTGAATTGACAGACCCAGCTTCCAAACGCCAGGTGGGAGATTGAAAGGCCCCTAGGTTAAGGCCCCTGAGACTGCTGGGTACTGGTAAACCCTCCACCAGCACCTGCGTGGGAGTTGCTGAGGAGGTGCTCGGGGGCTGCCCCCACGTGCCTGTCTGTGGCCACATCTGTGTTCTCTGCCAGTTCCCCTAAGTGCACCCTGGGGCCAGGGCAGGTGGTTGCAGAGGGGCCCCTCACACACCTGAGGGACCCAGCCATCTCCCTTCTCCCTCCAAGTTCTAAGCTCAGGCCACCTCTTTCCACTCTAGGGTTCTGGCAGGGCCAGGGGCTGGGGAGTAGACAGGGAGGGTGGGACCATTGTTCCCTGGTGCCAGCTGCTGTCCTGCACAGGCAGGGACTGGGCTGGGGCAGACTCAGCCTGAGATGCTGCTGGGTGTGCTCCGCCCACCAGACCCTACTTTCCTAGTGCCCCTGGCTTCAGAGGCCTGAGGCCTTGCAACCGCACCCCCTGGGGGTTTCTGCAGTCAGGATGGCCCATCTTCCCTCTCCCTCCCTTCCCATCCTCTAAGGATGGAAGGGTGGCGGGATCATGGCGCCACCTGGTGTCTGGTTTCCTCTTCTGGGACTGCAAGCTTCCCAGGGAGGGCGGGGAGAATGGCCAGCAAACCAAGGCCAGAGTTCGAATGAACAGGGTGTTTGGGGGTCAGAGGCAGGGTGGGCCACCATTCTGCTTGGGAGTGAAGCTTTTTGTCTTAATCTCCTTCAGGGCCTAAAGACCACCAATCCTCATAGAATCACAGAAGGCCTGAGCAGGGAAGGTCCTTGGGGAGCAAAATAGACAATCTTCAATTTACAGAAGGGGAGTCCGAGGCCACGAGAAAGGCGGTGATTTGTCCAGGGTGAGGCAGAGCTAGAATCCAGGTATCTAGCTCCCATTCCAGGGTTCTTCCCACTCCATTGACACGCAGGATGGGGGGAGTAGGGACTGACTCCCTGCTGACCACCCGTGGGCATGGAGAGCCAAGAGAAAAGAGAGAATCCCGGGGCTGGGGGAGACACTTCAGAGGAGACCAAGAGACATGCGGGGGGCCTGGCTACCCACAGTCAGCACCAAGTTCCTTGTGTTGCCCCATTTGGAATGCGGGCGCGTATATGACAAATAATGTGCTTATGTAGACCCTTCTATAGAATCCAGGACTCCCACGAAGGAGATGGGCACACACATGAGCTCCTACATGAGGGTGGAAGCCATGATGCAGGATGGGGCGGGTCCAGCCAGGGAAGGGGGGCTGGGGGGCTTCCAGGAGGAGGTGGGCTCCTAAAGCCTCTTGGGTATAACCCCAAGGCAAATACGAAGAGAGGGTATTCCAGGCCTGTGTTCCACCTGGGAGGAAATAAGAGCAGTGGGAAAGAGTCATGTTTCTAGAATGTTCTCTATACAGGACCACTGAGCCTGCCTCATTGGGATGGGAACTCTAGCTGCTCTCAGTGGGGAAATAGTCCCTGATGAGTCACTTCTGCTCTCTAACCCTGCAGCAAGGCCTCCCACCTCGTGAAACGTGAGGCTTTGTCAGGTCCCAGATACTCCACCCTGGAGTACTGGGGATGCTTTGTAAACCACCGGATACCCAGGATTCCCCCCCCCCGCACCGCCCATCTGGTGAATATGAACTTGGGGCGGGCCCATGCAGGCTGACGCCAAACCAGCCCCACGGCCCCAGGAGACATGAGAGGTCTGTGATCTGCTCTACCCAGGACTCCCTGAACATGTCCCCTTCCCTCTCGAGAAGGGTCACAAGGACTGGGAGTTACTGAACTTTCACTTCACCTTGGGATTTTCCACAAATCAGACCTCTGTTGAGTCACAAAGAACAGCCAAGTCCGGGAAGCGACTGGATGAGGTACTCTGAATCACACCACGTCGTCGACTAAACCGGCCTCGGTCTAAGGGCGCAATTCCCCTTGTTACCACCAGAGGGGCATGTGGCTTACTCAGAATCCCCTTCCATGGAGAATTTCAACCCGGGCCTTTCCCAGGGCCTTTGCCAGAAAGGAATGGTCAGCCGGGTGCCTACTCTCATTTCACTTGCACAAACCTCGGGTACAGCATTTGCCCGCCCTGGGGTGATTCTTGGTTGTGGTGCCTTAAGCCCTCGCTCCTCCCAGGAGGCAGTGGCCGTGTGTGATCTACACACCTTCCCCAAAGCCTGGGGTAACCACAAAGCCTCTAGCACCACAGTGCATGTGAACCAGCCTCATGAGCAGGACCCCGAGAGGGGCAGAAGTGTCAAGCTGGGATGCCGTGGGGTGGGAGGGGAAAGAAGTGAGTTGCCTGAGGGGCTCGTCTCAACCCCAGTTGCAGAGAGTTGATTGCATTGACGTGGTATTGGTGGTGGTTAAACCTCCCCGGGTGAATTTCAACTCTGCTGGAGTCCAAGTTGATAGTCCCAGCTTAGCCAGTGGGCGTGGCCAGGTGGGGTGAGGGGAAGGGAGTCCGGAAACCGGTGAGGGAAACTGAATTTGCTTTCAAGTCAAGGGAGGGCCAGACAGCTTGTCGGGCTCCAGCAGCAGCCTCATTCCAGCCCCCACTCCCCCATCCCCGGGGACTTTCAGGGCCTCAGTGGCCCAAAGGTGCTAGACGTGGACGGTGGGACCCCTGGTCCTGCTTAGCCCTGGCCTTTTCTCACAGCCTCCACGGACAGGCAAAGCTGGGCATGAGGCCCTGGGAGAGGGGGGAGGGAGAGTCCCGATCCCATGCTTAAGTGTCCACTCCCCAGACCCACCCAGCCTGTGTGGGGACACACAGGGAGGGCGGAGAAATCTCTCTTGGGTTCTGGCTGGCTTTGCCAGGCTGGGTGGTCTGGGCAGGGCCTCTCCTCCCTGGACTCGGTTTCCCCGTCAGAGGAACTAGAGGCTTGGACTGGCTGATCTCTAGCTCTCATGGGCTGATCTGTCCAGAGTGAGGCCACCCCTGACCTGGGCCTCCGATTTTTCTAAGTGTTTTGGAACCTTAGTGGAGAACCCCACGCCACCCCAGCAATCCTGACCTGTCCCCATTCAAGGAGCAGGGAAGGGGCGCCCCAAAGAGCCCACCTTGAGTATCTCCACTGATCCTACCTCTGGCAAAAGGAGCGGGCTCCCTGGACAGACAGGGGTGGGGGTCGAGGTGCCCTGCTAAAGAATGGCCAGGGTAGCGGGGTGCTGAGTCCCCCAGGCGCTGCCAGGGAGATTAATGGCCTCCCTGTTGGTCCGTGGCCCCAGGCAGCTGAGCTCTGAACTGCAATTCAGCAGGGGCCTCTGGGGTGGGGAATCTGTGCCTCTCCAAGCCCTCATTCTTCATTCTTTCCCACTGCCTGGCAGGCGCCTGGCCAGGGGAGACCAGAGGCAAATGCCACTTGCTTCTCCCGGTCGCCCCTGCGAGTCACTGGCTGGAAGATGGTCAGGCTGGGCCTCAGAGCCAGGGCCGCAGCAGCCTCAGTCCGGGGTGCTGGGAAGGAAGCATAGAGGAGGCCATGGCTGCACCAGGAGAGCCAGGGAGGCGCCAAGTGTCCCGGCCTTGGGGGGACACCCAGGACTCAGCCTCAGGGTCCCCACCCGGCTCTGGCTGCAGGAGGAGCTCCAGCCTGGGGAGACTGGCCTTGTCTGCAGTTGAGTGACGGAGGGCTCAGAAAGAAATCCCACCCAGCACTTAGAACCTTGGTGCCCAAAGCTTCAACCTGATGCGAGAGGGGCCAGGAAGGGGGAGAGAAGAGCCTGGGGAGGGATCTCCCTCGGGCTTGGTTGGTCTCATGCCTGGAAGGGACTGGAACGGGATGCACTTTGGAGTAGCGGCTCCCAGGTCCTGGTTTGGCAGATTGTCTCTCAGGCCTTGCTGGGATGCCTGTTCAGACCCTGAGTGATGCTCCACGGTCCCGAAGCCCAGGAGGCTTCAGTCGCTGGATCTCGGGTACTGTTGTCTCTAGATTTCTAAACTCACTTCCCTTTTTTTGAGTTGGAGTCTCACTCTGTCGCCCAGACTGGAGTGCAGTGGCCGCTCCCGGCCACCGCAGCCTCAACCTGCTGGGCTCCGGCGATCCTTCCGCCTCAGCCTTCCAAGTAGCTGGAACTACAGGCGCACGCTACCATGCCCGGCTCATTTTTTGATTTATTGTAGAGATGAGGTCTCGCCAAGTTGCCCAGGCGGGTCTCGAACCCGCAGGCTCAGGCAATCCACTCACTTCGGCCTCCCAAAGTGCTGGGATTACAGGCTGAGCCACCGAGCCCGGTCTCACTTCCCTTTCCAAGAAATGCTCACAGTTGTTTCCCCAAAGGGCTGGTTTGGTGCTACTGAGAGGAATTCCCCAGGTGAACCTGGCAGCAGGGCGGGCGGGGGGACTGTTCTGAGCAGGGGCGGCAATTTGTGGTCCCAGAACATCTACACATCAGCACAGACCACGCTGCAGAAGATGGGAAACCCGCTTTCCCGCCAGCCAGCTTTGTCCCACTCCTGCTATGTGACCTTGGGAAGGCAGTTGTCTGTCTCTGGACTTGGCTTTGGAAAAAACAAACACAAGACGCAGAGTCCCTGCCTCTGCTTCAATGTCAGCTGTGGCTTTTTGGGGAAGGGGCGAGTTGGGGAGCTGCAGATCATCTCCTCTGACTCCAGGATGGCTGTTCTTAGAGAAAAGTTGGGTGCATACTCCAAGTACATGCTTACTTCCTCCTGGCCGTGAACACAGAGGCGATAGGCAAGGAATGAAGGGAGACAAGACGGCACACTTGACAAAACCAGGGGATGAGACTG